TTGCGTTAGTACGATGAATGACAAAACGACGAAATTTCCCCACCACTTGCACAATAACACCAATACACGCAATCTACATAAACCCCAATTTTTAAAACATTAATCAGTTTGTCTGACGATCGCTAAAGCGTGAAACCCAGGGTCACAAACTCACATCTATCCAACTAAATATGTTAGCTCTATCTCTGATATTGAGCGCTTTCTAATAAGTACCACATATAATATATAAATAATTATACATATATATATTTATTTATATTTATATATTTCATATCCCTATTTTGTATTTGATACTGACATAAGGAAAATCTAGACATCCCTTGTTCAATTTAAGTAGAATATTCTGTAACATGGAAATATATTTTATAAAACCCGGTATAAAAGTATAAAATAAGATGAAATGGAACTTTTTTAATTTAATTTTTAGCTTCTATTTTGAAACATGGTTGGAACTGTGTATTCAATTAATTTATATATATATATATATATATATATATTTATATATATATATATATATATATATATATATATATATATACATTTGTAAATTGTCGTCTAAATTACGCAGAAATGAAAATAACACTGACATCTCATTGTAACAGATATATTTACCAAAATGACACAAAAATATCTTGAAATAGAGTAAATTGATTCTATAAAATCGCCATTGGCTTCAACCACTGCTTTCAGACGACATTGAAGTCACCTGCATCTCTTCAGGATGATTTCCTTGTTTAAGTTGGTGAATGCTGCCATAATCCTTGCCTTCAGTTCATCTTTGATGTTACAAGGAGTTTTGTTGCTCTCTCACTCAAATGCGCCTCACTAAAACTAATCAAGAGAGTTGCTGTCTGTGGAATTAGGTGGACAGATGTAAGGGGTGATGTGGTCGCAGAAATTGTCTGACAGCCATGACTGGGTTCTCCTGTTTGTGTAGCATAGTGCAAGGTCCTGTTACCAGATGTAATGCCTTGCAGCAGTCAACCCCTTCACCCAAGGCAGCAGTACCTCCTCAAAGCGCTTGATGTAGCCTTCCGCGTTGAGTCTGAGGTCCTGTGGGAAGATGAATGGAGGCATAACGTCACCGTCACTAGTGATCAATCCAAACCTTTTTAATCATCATTAGATTCATCCATCTTTCCGAATCCTCTGCACTGTCCCCAGATTGACACCTAAACACCGTGAGATGTTCGTATTGGATCTTCAGGTGCAAATGCTAAGCAGTACAGCATGCCGTTTCCAAATTTCTGGCGGAGTGCATTGTCTCAGGGTGGTCTTTTTCTCACAGACGATGGGCAACCGACCCTACTATACTATGTAGTCGACAAAATCTAAAGCATGTGTGAAAGTAAAAATACCCATCGCACCCAGTGTTTGTGTGCGTATATATATATATATATATATTAAAGACATTATGTTTAACGTTGTTATTTTATAGATACAAGTATTTAAGCAAATGCTCTGTTTATGATAAACAGTATTAAATAACATTTACCGGCCTGAATGTCCGAGAAATTTTCATAGAAAATATTCGTTCTTTGACAGGATTCGAACCTGCATCCTATACGGAACCGTCATATACGCTGACGTGCCTTACCGCTAGGCTACAAAGAAGCGTTCGGTAGACAAGGTCGAATTTACTGCTTATAAACTCCAATTTTCCATGAATCGCGTACATTCATAACTGCTCTGGCGTATCGAAATGTAAACAAATGACGTCATATATTAAGAAATGGACAAGGTCCGACAATTTATTTATTAAAGACATTTTATTATGTTTAACGTTGTTATTTTATAGATACAAAGAACGAATATTTTCTATGAAAATTTCTCGGACATTCAGGCCGGTAAATGTTATTTAATACTGTTTATTCCGTAAACAGAGCGATTTCAAAGAACGAATATTTTCTAAAAATTTCTCGGACATTCAGGCCGGTAAATGTTATTTAAAATCAAAACAACATTTGTTAAATATTGTATCTATAAAATAACAACGTTAAACATAATAAAATGTCTTTAATAAATAAATTGTCGGACCTTGTCCATTTCTTAATGTATATATATATATATATATATATATATATATATATATATATATATATATATATATAGTTGTATATTTAGGCAGCAATCCTGTTTGTTTAACGTTATTAAGTTCTTTGAGGAAGAGTAGCGAACACAGTCAAAAATCACATACACATTTATTACAAAAACCAAATGCATATTAATTACAAACAAGGCGAATCTTCTCTAAGGCATATTATAAAGAGATATACTACTCCAATTGACCCGATATAAAAAAATAAAATTTATTATAAAAAGTTTAAGACAGCCAACCTTATCCTCAAAAATAACACACCAACTAAGTCAAAATTACAAAACGAACATTATCTATGAGTTCAAATTCCCCTTACGGAACTGTGTTCCTGATCAAACCGGACTAAATAATTACATCGGTTACACAACCACATGCTTATCCAGACATCTTACGTTACATCTATAAGATCGCAGCTCCATTAGAACCCATTTAAACACACACACAAATTTACCAGACTCCATTGGGAACATACTAGAAGAAAACACAAATATATTAACTGCATCCACCTGCAAAAAAAAAAGACTAAAAATAATGGAAGCTTTAATAATAAAAAAGAAAAAGCCAACTCTTAACAGTATTAACTACGAACAAGTCCACAATTTGCTAACGGTATTCGGAAATTAAAAACATCTCTATCACACACTAAGACATACACAGAACGCACACTCTCAATTAAGCTGAAAAATCGAATCATCCTTGATAATGGCTAAAGGTATAGCCGAAAGCACTCGGAAATATAAAACATTTGGACAGTTCTTACACACCCTTTGTCCAGAAAAGAAAGCTCTCGTTAGAACACAAGAAAAATTAAATAAAAAGCTTAACCGTAGTACCTTGTCTGTCGTTTTTAATGAAACATGCACATATATATATATATATATATACTACTCGACTCTCACGTCGAATTCGACGTATGAGGATGAAGCAGATAAGTTTCCAGGAAACCGACAGCCCGACAACAGCACATGAGATTTAATTATATTGGTGAAGGTTTCGTGCAGAACCATCCACACTTCTTGAAGGGCCGAATACAGAGACCTGGTGCACTACGTACCACGACGTCCCCAAACGACCCTCCGCAGGTTTTGAATTCAGAGTTGTCCTTCTCCTCGTCCAAGGCTATAGAACCCGGCCTGTCCTGCTATTTACCCATAGCAGGAGAGAGAAGAAGAGGATTCAAACATTTCCCAAGGGTATTAGCACGTAAGTGAATATAATGGATTCGACTGGAATTCGAACTCGTTTCTCCGATTCCTCAATCGAAGCCGCTATCCATTACCCCACCGTGCCGTATATATAATGTATTCCGGATAAATCGAAATTCATAAATAATTATATTGGATATACTACAACATGAAGATTCACGTTACATCTCTTTGATCATAGCTCAATTAGGTCTCATTTAAATACTCATGGACATCAACCAAACACTATCCACAACATACTCGTTCATAATATAAATATAATAATGCACAAAATGGCTAGGCACAATGGAAGCATTATTAATTAAAAAAAGAAGATAAAGCCAACACTCAATAATATCAACTATGAACACGGCCAGAATGTGCTGACCGCGTTTGGAAAATAAAACGATCCTATAACTCTAGATACATAAAACAATCCATACATTCAGTTAAAAATAAAAATAACAACATCTTTAATAATGCCTAAAAGTATATCCGAAAACGCTCGAACATACAAAATATTTGGACAATATATATATATATATAGCTGTTTCTCACCGCTAGATGCTACTTAAAGTTTTTCGATAAAATCCAGACACGGATATGCAATGTAATTAACCCTGATCTGGCATCTCGTCTGCGGTCGCTCTCTCACAGACGTGCTGTCGCCTCCCTCTGTCTTTTTTTTTACAAATACTTTCATGGTAACTGCTCCGATGAGCTGCTTTCACTGGTTCCCAGACTTCATGAATTTCAGCGTTCAGCTAGGCTGGCATCTCGCTCTCAGCCTTTCACTGTCCAAACTTAAATGTAGCCGTCTCTTCTACTCCGATAGCTTCATAGCTCGCACTTCTCGCCTGTGAACTCCCTCCACATTTCTTGTTTCCCTGATAGCTATAATCTCCAACTATTCAAATGTAATGTCAATCGACGTCTCCAGATGCCTTATCTATCCCCTAACCGTCTCTTCATCTTTTCCTCTATCACTCCTCTTTGTTCTCGCTCCAATTCTCTGTAACCCCTTGCGTGCTAGTGGCTTCCCACCTTGCCTAGGGTGAAAGGCTTAATAGATAGATAGATAGATAGATGTGTGTATTTCTTTTTTGATTTTTCACCTATCTTGGTTTTGCTCTTTCTCTGTGTGTCTTTTATCCTATTTATAGCCTCTTAAATTCTTTCTCTCTATTTTCATTCTCTGTATTACATGCTCCATATTTTAACTCTCTTTCTCTATAACCCTTTCGTTAGATTATATATATATATATATATATATATATATATATATATATATATATATATATATATATATATATATATATATATATATATATATATATATATATATATATATATTTTTCATATTCCTCTCTAATGAAGCTACAGAGTAACGCAGTGGAAGCGTGTCAGGCCCAAAACCCAGAGGTTCTTGGATCGAAACTAAGCTCTGCTTATTTTTGGCACTGTCATGGTTAGGAAGTTTGTCTCGTTTGATCAATTACGACATGAGTAATGAGTTTGATCATCACTGGGTGCCTCATACATTCGGCTTTGTGTCTTATCTACGCTTAGAAAATCATTTGCGCACTTCGACATGGTGTTATGGTTAACAAGCTTATTTCGCTCGATCAATTACGAGCTTGATCCTCACTGGGTACCCCATACTTTCAGCCTCGTGACACATCTAAGCTACGCTTAGAAAATCAACATTTACAACTGAGTAGTGAGTTTGATTCTCACCGGGTTCATTCATATCTATCTATCTATCTATCTATCTATCTATCTATCTATCTATCTATTCCAGTTTGTTCATTATCTATCTATCATCTATCTATCTATCTATCTATCTATCTATCTATCCCAGTTTGTTCATCTATCTATCCCAGTCTGTTGTTGATATCTATCTATCTATCTATTTATCTATCTATCTATCTATCTATCTATGTTTGTGTTTCTTTGTCTCTCTCTCTTTTCTCCCCATCTATGTACTGTATAATTAACATGACATTTAAACAGAAAAGATCAGCTTACTTCACCGATCCCTTCGAAGACCCGGAGAGCAATCAGAGCATAAACATTCCATCTTGCAGCCAAGGGCGTGAAGAGAGACGCAATCGCTGCAATAAGAATTCCATAGCCGAACAGACGCTTGGATCCAAACCTCCGACTGAGATATCCTCCGGGAATTTGAGAAATAACATAGCCGTAAAAAAAAGACCCCAGTATAATTCCTCGCGTTTTATGGTCCCAGTTGAACTCTCCTGTCTGGAAAACAACAAAAGATAATTCATTTTAAAATTTAAGATTATTTGGGAAAATGTAACAAAATTGTTAAATAAAATAATAATAATGAGTAATAAAAATACATATATATATATATATATATATATATATATATATATATATATATATATATATATATATATATATATATATATATATATATATATATATATATATATATATATATTATTCCCATGATGCTACAGTAAATGAACCGGAAACTGAAAAAAACGTCGTTACATGGCTATGATAATGTCGGACATAAAAAGACAGATTTTTAGAATATCCAAAAGCTTTTCTTTTCAGGGCTGTCCTGGATATGACGATAAACTACATCTGCGTCCGGGGTAAGACGATAAACTACGTCCAACAGTAAGGCTTCTGATCAGGAGGTTTTGAGGAGCCGCCTTGATTGCTGGTGTTTCCGGGTCCGCCCTGACCCGGGGTGGTGGCATCTGTTGGGATCCCAGGTGGAGGCGGGTGGTTAGCCCCCAAACTTGGGTCGAAATACTATCAAGGTGTAGAGGTATGTTTTAATGCCAGAAATACTTGTAAAAAAATTGTTGTTAACAATAATTTTTGAAGGAAAAAAATATTACCAGCAAAAATATTATCAACTATACATTTTTGAAAAAATAAAAATATTACCAGCTATACATTTTTTTCGAAAGAAATATTACTAGAAATAGATTTTTAAAGAAAAAATATTACCAGTAATACTTTTTTTGGAAAAAAAAATTACCCGTCTATATTTCTGAGATAAGGTATTATGTACACTATTTACGTTATTCGGACTATTGTCCTCATCTTTGTCGCCATATTTATTACAACCAAGCATAGAAATGAATACAATATGGGAACCACTAATAAGGAGTACCAGAGAAAAGCGATAATGACAACAAAAATTGCAATATGAGCTCTGGTAAAAAACATAAATGATAACAGCAAAAATTGCAATATGAGCACTGGTAAAACATTGAAGACATTAGATTTATAATATCCAGAAATTCATACACCGATGTCCTCAAGGACACATGGCACATGCATAAAGGCGTTAATTAGATCCAGTGACAATGCAAAGAGTGTGAGTTCAATATCTGGTGAAGGCAGTGGAGAACTTGGAGAGGGGAATTAACAGGAGATAACTGATAACATGGCAAGTGGAACTACGAAACTTTGTAATAAATATGGCGAAAAAGATGGGGAATAATGTAAATAGTGTAAAAAATATTACAATAAAAATTGTCGGCATTAAATAAACCATTATGGTTGATATGCCGTAAAAACCAAATAAAACTGATTCAAGTGTTGATATGCCATAAAACAAAATAAACTAACCCAAACTGATTTCTTACAAAGAATGCATATTCTATTCATACAAACCTATTCTAAAAAATCTTGTTGGCATTAAATAACCCATTGAGGTGTTGATATGCCGTAAAATAAAATAAACCAAACCAAACTTTTCAAGGTCCAAGACATGTAACATATTTTTACACTTTTATAGATGTTATTTTTCTTGGCAAAATGCAAGAGGCTCTAATCAATTCTGAATTTGTTAAGCATCTCATTTCACTGGCTCCATTCTTGCATAGAAATGACTGCAAAAACATCCCCCCTACCCAAAACATATCACCATTTTGTTTAAGAAAATAAACCAGAATAGACGGGAATAGTCATCGAAAAAACAAAGTGTATATTTGAAACCATTCAAAGAACGCAACCAAATCACAATGAACAAGATCTAATATTTTATTGGCCCGTTTTTCGGGAAATTCATTTTTATATTTACCATTTTAATTGGATACATATTCCACTGTTTAAAATTTAATTTATCGGTAACTATCAGTATAACCCATCTACTAGATTGGCAATTAGGTCCTGCTGTTTTATTGTTGAATTTCTTCTTCTATGTGCCGTGTGCGTTCAGGACGTTGTCGATCATGGCTATCCTGTTTCTCTTATATTCAATTTCTCTTTTGAGTATCAAAATATACAAGCTCTTTTTCCTTATATACCCCAGAAAAATCGACTGTCTCTTCCTCATGTTAAGTATTCCTTTTTGTTTCCGTTTTTTCTGAAACTTCGTCATTGCTAATCATTTCCCCACACTTATTCATCTATCAATATTTTCCCATAAACAACATCTTCTATCAATTCCTTCCCTTAAACGACCTCTTCTTCTGCCAATCTCTTCCCATAAGCGACTTCTTCCTCTACCAATCACTTCCTATAAATAACTTCTTTCTTTATCAACCCCTTCTCATAAATTACTTTTTTCTCTACCAATCCATTCCCATAAACGACTTCTTCCTCTACCAATCACTTTCTATAAGTGACATCTTTCTCTACTAGCATTATAACCCGTCTTCGATCGAGTTTTTCATTACGGGGAATTTTTGTCATTCAATTGGTTGCAGTTTAAGTTTAAAGTCAGCCCACCCGAAAATCAATATTAGTAGTAACAATTGGGTGCAACTGAGGCACATCCCCAAATCGGGTTTTAAGAATCTGAATGGGGTGTGGCCCTGAAAAGGGCCATTTTTGCGTTCTCAGTCTTGCATGGAAGGAACCTTTTCATTTTATTTATAATATAATTTTTTTTTATAATTCTAATAATCTTTTGCGTTAGATTCCAACTCTCTAAACTGATTGTACGCTATTTTTTCAGACATAAATTTTTGCCTTTGATTTTTGTGCAAATCAGTTTTTTTTTATTTTCACCTTCAAGGTTGTAATTTTTTTCAGAGAATTTGGACTCAAAACCGGCACCGAAGAATTATCTATCAAACAAAAAACATTTCATCGAAATCGGATGAAATCTGTGGAAACCCATAAACAACACCCGATTACACACATACACACACACATACATACATACATACATACACACATACATACATACATACTCACACAGATACATACATACACGTGCATAAACACATACATACACACACACATTTTGAGAATTATAGATATAGATTTTCATGTATCCCACAACGTCTTGTCGTTTTATAATATCCTTCAGATTACAATGCCCAAGAATCTGATGACATTGTTTTAGGCTAGGCTGAGAGAAAATGAAAGGAAACAAATAAATAAAATAATAATAAAGAATAAAAAAATTAATATTCCTATGATGCAAGTTATAAAGAAACCGGAAATGGTTTCTGGTTGCATGTGCGATTTTATGAGACCACTTCCGGAAAGGACAGAACCTTTCTCTTTCCACTTTCCAACGGCATCGGTAGGACGTGTTTCAGCAGCCCTAAGAAGTAGAGATTCGGTCTTCTCAACTCCGCGTACTTATCCGCCCCTTCCTATAATTTATTTCTGAACCAAAAAGGAAAACGGAAATACTCAAGAGACATTAAACTATGTTTCAATACAGTTGTCGGAGTGAGCTCCTCCTTAATTCCACTAAGGGTCGCTCTCCCTACACTATAAATACTGGGCGACTTCTTGCCTCGTTCTCTTTTTCACTTTACATTTCAGCGGACACATTTAAAAATGTGATCTCTCGCAGAAATTCGGGTTTTGCCCACTTGTGGGAAAATGCCATGAAAAACACATACACGTACGTACGAACATTCTCCAAAATACAAACTCTTTATGTTCAAACACAAACACAAATGTTGATGTCTTTGTCACTTGTAAATTTGTTGTTTAATACATATATTTGTTGATATATATATATATATATATATCGGTCTTGTTTGTCTTCTTTACATCTTCGGTTGGACTTAACTTGAGTCCGCCATATTCTTGTAGTCGGACCTTCTTCTAGCAGGAAATAAACAGTACGTGTTCCTAATACAACAACACGCAAATCCACCGGGTCCTCTACAGAGTCAACAAAGGAATAAACGTCCATAGCAGAAACTCAATTTTTGTTTGTATGGTTCTTCTATGCTTTCATTGTTTACATATTTACCGTCAACTAAACATACACACAAAACCCACAACCTTATTAACATCCAAATGGCGTGGCAGTTTTTGAGAGTTATTGCCTTATTTAAATAGTACAAGCGTCCATCTCTTTTTATGTCATATTTTACGCTATTAGGGTAGACAAGTTTCGAGTAATTACGACCGAATTTTACAGAAGCTCCTTTTTCAGTAACGGCTTGTCCCGAAAATATATTCTGTTTAAATGTAAGGATATAAAAGCATCCTTTCTGATGCAATTTTACATATTTTCTTCTGCGCCAATTAAAGGAACTTGAGTAATGCCTCTTTTTAAGGCAATATTAGTTCTACTGCCATCTGTCAGTTCGATATGGTGATCTTCTGGATTGAAATCATTATTGAAACAAATAAATTTAAATTCGTCTGTAATAACATGAGTCATGATTCCAGAACCATTTCTGATGGGAATGGTGTCTAGTCCAACAGAAAATAGAAATAAATTTGCATTTTCTGAAATATATTCAACATTATTTTATGAAATATGCATTCTTTTTGCTTCTGCACACTTAGTGGCACGCAGAGGCTTGGAGATGCGCAGGATCAACTCCTTGATTGTATGTCCCTATGACTTATGTTTGTGGGGCGATAAGGCATAGTACTAAGAAATGTGGGAAAGGAACACATTTTAAATATGTAAACATTTAATAAACATTTAATGAAACATGAAATAAATAATTTTTCTCCCCGGAATCGATCCTTCAAATCTACAAATCAACCATTCGCCCTTGCATGGAGTATTGCTGCCATATATGCTCTGGAGCCCCTTCTGTTTGCCTCGGGGTTCTTGATAAGATCCAGAGACGGATATGTAATATAATTGGCCCTGATCTAGCATTTCGTCTACAGTCACTCTCTGACAGACGCACCATCGCCTCCGTTGTGTCTTTTTTTACAAATACTTTCATGGTAATTGCTCCGATGAGCTACTTTCGCTGGTTCCCAGACTTTCTCCACCGCCTCAACCGGGTATTGAATTCACACTCTTTGGGTCCTGTCACTGGATCTAACTAACGCCTTTATCCACTGTGCCATGT